TGGCAAATAAATTTCACTCACATGCCACCAGTCAAGAGGGTCAAATACATGCTAACCCTTGTTGACACCTTCATGGGATGGTTAGAGGCTTTCCCTTGCACTTCCGAAGGAGCAGCCACTGTAGCTCAGATACTTCTCACTGAAATCATTCCCTACTTTGGCTTCCCTCACTCCCTATAGTCAGACAATGGACCCACTTTTGTCTCTCAAGTCACCCAATAGGTGGCCAAGACACTAAACATCCAATGGAAACTCCATATTACCTAATGCCCACAGTCCTCAGGAAAAATCAAGTGGGCAAATGGGCTCATAAAATCTCAGCTAACCAAGTTGTCCTTAGAACTAAAGACTACATGGCCTACCCTCCTCCCCCTAGCACATATCCAGCTCCATGCCATCCCTCGGAAGCCCCTCAACCTGAGCCCCTACAAATTAATGTATGGGAAACCCTTTCTTCTCTACAATCTACCTGACTCCAAGCCACCCCTAGCAGACTATATCCCGACACTAAATTATGCCTGCCACCTCCTCCGCACTTTCGCTAGTTAAAGCCTTCCATCTCCTGCTGCACCAGGTACCATACCCCTCTCTGTCTCCCCTGGGGACCAAGTCTACTTGAAAACTCTGTTCCCCAAACCCCTTCAACCGAGATGGAAGGGACTGTATACAGTCTCCCTAACCACCCTTACTGCAGTAAAGCTAAAGGAAAGACTCCCTGGTTTCATCTGTCCAGAATCAAAAAGGTAGCCTCACCGTTCACAAAAAAAAAAAAGCCAGATTGGGCCAGGGATTTAGCTCAGTGGTTTCGCCGCCTGCTGTGCAAGCGCAAGGACCCGAGTTTGATCCCCGGTACCAAAAAACAACAACAACAACAACAACAACAAAACCCAGATCAACCACTGAAACTTCCTAGACACTCATCTCTCTTGACAGGTCCCCTAAAGGTCAAACTGCTCTGGATTCCAGAAGAACCCAAACTGACCAAGATCACACCTTGTCTCAGGCTTTTCATAAAAGCTCTTCAGCCTGAACTTGTGTGGTTGACTCCTCAGGCAGATCCAGCCAGATCAATTCTTGAATGGGTAACTGATTTTCACCTCCAGGGCCCTCTCTCTCTCTCTCTCTCTCTCTCTCTCTCTCTCTCTCTCTCTCTCTCTCTGTCTGACTTTTACCTCAAGGGGATATCCTTCTACACCCTTCTCCTACTCTGTTGGCTATCACTGCCCCCTGCCACCCACATCAAACACCCCTCATGGGATACTGTGAGGCTCTATCTTTAAAAACAATCCCTGACATCCCCTGCCTCCTCATAGTAGTGTTGCTTGGATTTGTCCTTGGGGTGGGATTGGCAGCCATGGCCCCCAGGAGCTAGTCTTCTTGCCAGAGGTGCTCAATCACCCTCATATATTGGGTCATTATTTTCCTTTTCTGTATCCTCATTTGCTACATCTAAACATGGTCCTGCTCTCACTTCCTCTTCACCCCCAACCCCAACCTTATCTTCAAGGCTACCATGCTTGGGCTACTCCTCCTTCTACTTTCAGGGAAATGAATGTGCCCTCAACCTATTGCATCACTCCAGCTAGACTGCTGGATGACAGGAGGCAAAGTTTGGTGCATGGATTGGAGCGGCCTCCTGGCTTCCGATACTTTACTCACATGGATATCTCATGCTATGGCTCAACCTCCATCTGCATGCAAGATGGCTGCAAATACTGGAAGGGCAAGATAATACACTCGGCCATGGTCTCCAGTTGTCCAGCACAAACAGGGACCATTGCCTGTTGGTCTTATCTTCCCTTATTAGGTGTGTGGGATGGCAGAGGAGCCCAAAATAGGGCATTAAAAGAGGAAGTCAAAAAGGTAGAAAAGTCCATTATTAACCTCTTCAAGCCCACAACCCCCCTCCATACAAAGGACTGGACCTCTCAGTGGTAAGTGAGATAACATAGTCACACAAGAGATTATTACACCTCTTTAATGCACAATCCATAACCTCCCTGAAACATCTCTAACTGCTGGATGTGCTTATCTGCATGCCCCCGTCCCTTCACTCTGATTCCTATTCCCTCAGGCTTCAACTTTAGTTCTTCCAACACGCACAACACAACTGAAACTCTTGGAACTTATGCAATTAATCTCCCTTTCCCTCCTACAAAATAACAATTTGACTTGCACTGGCCAGATCCCTGAAAACCTCACAGAGCCACTGTGCTCCTCTTTCATTTCATCTGAACACCCAGTCTGTCTCTCATCCAGCCTGTTCATCTGCAATCAGGAGGCCTTTAAATGTATCAATCAGACTGATATCTTCTGCTATGTTGCCTTCCTTAGCCCCCTTATGACCATTTACACTGAGGCACAGATTTTATACATGGCCACACCACAACCTGGCATTCGCCATAAAAGGGCAGCCCCCTTCCTTGCCCCCTTCTGATGGGGGCTGGAGTACTGACAGGGTAGCAACAGGCATTGCAGGTATCTCCACCTCCACACACTTTTACCTCACACTCTCTAGAGAGCTGGGTGAGGATATGGAGAGAGTAGGCAAGTCTCTAAATACCCTCCAGGACCAAATTAACTCCCTTGTAGCAGTAGTCCTCCAAAACAGGTGGGCCCTAGATATAGTCATGGCGGCACAAGGAGGAACATGCCAACTTCTAGGTGAGGAATGTTGCTATTTTGTCAACCAATCGGGCATAGTAAAAGCCAAAGTTAAAGAATTAAAAGAACGCATTAAAAACCACCAAAGACAATTAGAGGCCACAAATCTCTCGGTCCTCCAACAGATCATGCCTTGGCTACTCCCCTTTCTAGGTCCACTGGCCTGTTTGTGCCTCCTGGCCCTGGTGGGGCCTGCTTGTTTCATTGTTTTCTAAATTTTCTTCAGGAGAGAATGAGGGCCTTCACCAATCAGACTGTCACAGAGTTCCTAATGGCCGGATATCAACCTCTTAACAAGGACGGCACCTCAGCCCCTTAAAGGCCCACCCAAGACACCCAAACTATACCCCTTGTCAGCTTGAACCAACTACAGAAGAAGAGACCTTCATCCCAGCAACCATAAAACAAAAGGCTGGAATGATAGATTCTTCCCGCCTAAATCTGGCCTTCTTCCCAGCATACCCCTCTTCCCACCAAAACTTGGCCTCCTTCTTCCCACAATTCACCTTAAAATCTGCCCCAGCCCCTGGAGACTAATGACGACTTCCTACCCTACCTCTCCCTGCCAGCTCCTCGGCCCAATATTCCCTTTTTTGTTGTCTTTTTGGTTTTGTTTATTTTCTGTTTGTGTTTTGTTTTCTTTTGTTTTGTAGGTATAAATACACTTCCTGACTGTGGAAACAGCTTACAGTCCAAAGGTGCTTTCTAGCTTTCTCAGCTTCTTTTGGGCAAACCCCTTTCCAGAGAGGATAGATTATCAGCCTTTTCTGATGATATATTTCTTTTGCTCATCCTTCTCTACTGAATATAAATAGTCATTATTTTAAGCTGGGTAAAATTATTTTATACACCCTGACTCAAGGAGAGTTTGTTTCCATAAAATTTTTCCTTCTAAGCAATAAAATGTGGTAGGGCCGGGGATTTAGCTCAGTGGTTCCAGCGCCTGCCTTGAAAGCTCAAGGTCCTGAGTTCAATCCCGGGTACCAAAACAAACAAACAAACAAACAAATAAAATGTGGTAATAGCATGATAGTCTGTGCTGTATATTCCAAGACACCCCAGTCCAAATGACAGGCTCACCAACATTCTTCCCCTTTCCACAAGCTCTGGTAGCCAAAACAAAGCAAGTGTTTTGTGTTCTTTTTAAACCTCCTGGTTTGCTTTGTACCTGCCCAAGAGACTGGAGACTGGGGTCGCAGACAGAGACCTGGATAGATGACCCTGGCCTCCTACCGAGGGACAAGTTCCCTGCACTCCTGCAGGGGCAGCTCAGGCTGTCTGGGAAGCTGGGGCCTCCTGGTCACCCCGGTAGCCTCGGGCATCACAGCAGAGTGCAGTGGGAGGGACCAGGCCAGACTCAGTACAGGGCGTGGCCTAGGGAGAACAGTTTTTGAGAGGCCTTTGGACTTGGGGGCAGATTTCCGTAACCTTCCCCCTCTTGGCCGGCAGCATCAAGACGGGCATGCCGGTAAGGTCCACTGTCAGAAAAAGATACCTTTCTTGGCCTCCTGGGAATACATACAAAGTCCAAAAATGTTTAAAACTTTCTTTTCCTATCAGGACAAGTTAGGTCAGTTCAGTGTGCTCCCTTCTGTTTGTTTTATTTCTTTGCCTTTAATGTCTCACTGCCTCCTCCCATTGGCCCCGGAGGTCAAATCTTTTCTTAGTCGGGGCAGGGAGGATCCTGGCTCTGATCCTACCTCAGGCAGACAAGTGTGCATCCTTATGCTCCTTAGAGTACATGATTAGGAAATCAGCAAACCCTCCTGGTTACACTGATCACTCCTTACAGCACGATTACTCGGCTGAAACACTCTCACCTCCAGCCTCGGTCAGTTGGCTTGGGAGCTGCACGATCCTAACACAACAGAAACAGTGCTGGCCCCGAGTCCTCACCGGGTGAGGTGGAACTGCCGCAGTTTCTTTCCGTTGTGCCACATTTACTACTTTTAGCAATAAAAATTACAATAACACTAGCATTATTGTTTCTAACCCTGTTATTTCTTTTAAACCTAACAGTAATACTATGGAATGGATTTTATAATCATCCAATTTTACCCAAAGTCACAGTAAGTGATCACACCAGGATTTCAACCCAGAAGTTGGATCCCCACTCATGCTCTTAGCCACTGCTGTTGACCTTTATAAAACTACCTGTAGTCAGCTAATACTTTTAAATATGTTGAGTGGAAATTGTTAACTGGTGAATCCAAAAACCAGGAGCTTCCCAGTCAGAGAGGTCACTGTCCTGCAGTCTGAGCAATCCAGGCAGTATGGTGCAATCTGAACAGATGGAGTCACAGAGACAATGGATAAAAAGACTGTGCTTCATGCTGTTAAAGTCATAAACTTCTCATAATAAAATCATTTATTATTGAGCATAAAATATATTCACTGTATAAATAGAAAGGGAAAAATGACAGAAGAGCAAACAGAAAGAAGTGGAAATTTTTAGAGTTGTTACATCAAATCCCCAGTAGTACAATTTTACAATTTTACAACAAATCCTGATAACAAATACCTTATCAATAGATCAACAAGAATTATGCAGTAAACACAGATTTCAGATTTTAAAAAGGTTCTGCATAGCTAGCCTAAGAAAAACAAGTATGCAGTACAAACATTCGAGTGCAAAAATGGCTAAGTACAATATTTTGTGTTTATTCCAAATCAATGAAAAGGGTACTAAGGGAATGTTTTCTTCATGAGAAAGTAAATAAGGTTCATCTAATGCCATATGCATCTCCCTTTCCCCACACTTGCAGGTGAGCTCCCTTAGAGTAGGGTGATCTGCACAAGCAGACACTCAATAAATATGTTGAATTAATTAGACTTTTTCTGTTGATCCCCGGCCCTACCACATAGCATCCATGTTTTCACCAGCAATCACCAGGCAGCAACTTGCTACAAAGCCCACCCAACTTGCTATAAAGGCTTTCACAGGAATCTGCAAAGGTGTGTGAGGTACCATGAACCTCACCGGCACAGTGAACTTGGGACCAAGCTCTTTCGAAAGAGAAGGGGTAAGTATGCAACAGGATCCTCTTGCTTTCTGCTGGTTCTCCCCCATGCTAGGCACCCACCCTAACCCCTTTAAAGCTGAAGTACCCTACCAGAAAATGAGACTAAGTTCATTCCTTTCCAGCTGCTGGCTCCAACCCTGCCTGCTTGCCTTGGAGCTGCTCACATCCCTGACCCAGACCTGGTTTTGCTGATCAAATCGCCCACCTGATGAAATGCACTTCCTCAGTTCTTAACTTTGTACTCTCCTGGGAAAGTAGGAAGGTCCAGCTATTAGCAGCTGCTCTTGAAAAACCATTTCTTTAGTTCTGTTCAGAATCCAGTTGGTTGAGTCGCTTTATGATCATATTGTTGATTTTCTTAAGATCATCTATGTCCTTTCCTTCGGCTGCTAATCGTCTCGACACATCCTCCATCTTGTTTGCAGTCTGAACTTCAAAATGGAAAACAGACTGTGTTACACTGGGCTTGCCACGCCTGCGTTGGCTCTAGCTGGGTGCTAGGAGGCACTCTCAGAAAATCCCCTGTTCTTACATCACGTATCCCAGAGGCCCATGAGAGAAACTGGTGAAGACTGAATTATTTTTACAACCCCTTGGTGCCAGCCTGGACCACCTTTGGCAGCTCCACTCAGATTTTGGCTGAGAAAGACATGGCTGTGAGGAGCCAAAGGAAACTGCCAAGGTTTCTGATTACTTCCCCAGAAGTGATTGTCATATCTTCTCATTTTCAGTCCCAGTGTCAGAAAAGGGCCTTAGCTCATCATTTGAAAATGACATTCTTTGGGTTCCAGCCCTTTGACATTCTGAATTACCAGCCTGTTATGAATGTGTAATATTTCCCCTACACCACTCCTGAGACTAGAACCAATATTTTTTTCAAATAAACAGAGCCCTTGGCAGTATAGTAAGCCAGCAGATGGAAGTTTTCACGTCTGTTTCTCAGAGTTAAAATTTCTAAGAAATGCAGCCCCAAATCAGCACTTTATATTTGAGCTCCTTATCATTTCCCTTGCAGGCAGGTTTTCTACAAAAAGTATCTTTCAGGAGCTAATGGTGCAGACAACATGCTACTGGGCTTACTGATAAACTAACACGGGAAAGTAAACTATATGTTAGAGGTTCACCTCCCAACCTGGGGACAAATAGGCCCAGCAGTTACTTCTCCCTCCCCTGGTGTGTGAAAAATTCTGTTGGGTGAGACACGGTCCAGGATACGGGAGAGAGGTCTTAGTTGAACTTTCTTGCTTGGCCAGGCAGAGATACCACTGGTTTCTCTGAAGAAGTGCGCAACTGAAGTAAACCCATGACGTATGAAATCATTTCCCCTCTTGGGACTCGCCTACGTTGATCAAGCCCAGAAGGAAGTAGCGACCATGTTTACTAAAGTCTGTTCCACTGTACACTAATCCCAAAACAAATTCTCCGAAAAAAGAAATGTTTAATGCACAAAAAAGTGAGAGCAAAATTACATACCTACCTGCCCCCCCTGGAGAGTCACATGAAGTAAAGAAACACACTGAGATTACGTAGGTCAACAGTTCCCAAACCCAATGGACCAGGGCCCTGAAGCAGCACTTGGTGTCCTGTGGAATACTGTCTGCCCACTGCAAGCTGCTACTCAGGCAGACGGGCAGCCACAGGGATCTCCTCTTACTTCCTGTCCATTATTGCTCTTTAGCACAGAGATCATGACAAAAACATAAGGCCCAGCAGTTTCGTCAGAATGTGACCTGTATAAACATTCTTGTTTCTCTTTGATAAAAATGCCAGAGTTGTAAAGAACATAGGTCTTTGGACTTCAGGTAAAAGAACAAACGTTTGCACTGAAGCTCACTGAGAACAAAATGATTTCTCTGTTAAAGATGAGCAAAGTCAAGTTCACCTCCAAATGTCTGTGCCAACTTGGGTCCTAGGCTGGATTATCCACAAGTAGATTTTATTCTTAGTTCAACACCTCAGGGGAGCACACAGGAGCTCTGCAGCTGGGCTGGCCATGGTCAGAGTCCCAGGACTGCCTCTGATAAATAAGCCAGGGAACATGGAGAAGAAAACTCTTAAGGCCTAGTCTTTCAGGAGTATAATAGAGATATTAGGCACCACCTTGAAGGGTGGAATTAGGACTTAATGAGTTTAATGTGTCTGGAACAAGGATTCTTTATGCATATCATCTTTCTGTTTCTTTTCACTCAAGACAAATACAATCCTATTTAAACAAGAGGAACAGAATGACGTTGATAAAGTGCATGGTGTTTGAGGTCAGCTGGTACCGATGAGGCCTGATTTGGCTTTGTAATCTTGAGCAAACTGAGCTTCCACTTCAGCCCTGGTAAACCCAGGATGATGATAATAATAATAGATCCTGTTAGATAAAGAGTGATGATCTAGTAAATAACACAGCCAGCCTGAACTTAGGGTCCCAGGCAGGACCCCCTGGAGTAACTCCAGAGGACAGTCCAAGTCAAGTGTATGAGGTGATCTTTTATGGATGGGGGGGTTGGTGGGACGGGATTAGGTGGGGTGAGGTAAGGGGCATGAGATTGAGGGAGTAAGGATGGCTGAGTACGTGGCTATAGCAACGGCTAATGTTCCTTTGTGGGTGCACTGTGACCTAGCAGGTGGAGCGGGTTGCCATGTCCTAGCTGAGTAGGCACCGTTACCCAGGCTCAGGTGGCCGGGAACAGTCACTCCAGGAACTCGGGCAGCTGTGGTGGGAGGCAGATGGGGGTCAGACCTATCAGATCCTACACTATATTGTTGTTAGGTTTTAAACAAATGAGCATAAGTGCTTAGCACAGTGGTTGGGACTGAGTAAGCGCCCACTATACACCGTTTGTTACTATCATTTCACTTCATCTTGCCACCTATCCCCCAGGAGGCAGAATTTCCTTTGAGCTGCTTACATGTCTATTAACCGATCTAGAATTTCCTACTAGCTAGCTGGGTCATCACTCTCGGGCAGGCACGGCAGGATGAGCTTGGGTTGGAACCCTGTGCACACCTCTCCTCGGGGGCCCATCAGCACCTGCACCTCCTCCACTCCTGAACGGACCTAAATTAGACATATTCCAAAGCTCACTTAGAATGATGGAAGATGACAAGCATGAAAGGGTAGAAGAAATGATAGGGTGGGAGATCCACAGGATGGCAAAAGCATGTTGTTATGGTCTGGATCCATGACGGCCCACAAAGGGCTCCTATGTGCAAATTGGGGCTTTGAGAAACTGATTAGGTCATGGGGTACTAACTTCACCAATGTCTATTGATGAGCTCATAGCTGGATGTGCTGTTAGGAGGAGGAGGCTGACTGGAGGAAGTAGATTACTGGGAAGGATATATTCTGTCCCCAGCGGCACCCCTTCCTTGTTTGTCTGCTTCCAGCCACCAAGAAAGAGGTCAAACATGGATTGAATGTGTGAGTCAACAGGTGTCAGGTATTTTATCCAAGCCACAGAAAGCTGATTAATACAGATATCAAAGATGACCCCACACCTAAGGCTCCTTGTATTCCTAAGTGGTCTGGGAGAGAATGAAAATAATTGTAATTATAGTACATAGGGGAGCTGAGAGAGAGAACTGATGGCTCCATAGGAATGGCCACATGCAGGAGGGGACAGCATCACAGGTGACAGCACCCCTCCCCTTATCCAAGGCAGAGAAGGGATGGTGCTGACAGCTCAGGGGATCCTCAGGCTGGGGAGCTGATGTGGGAAAGCCCGTGTCACCACGCATGGGTAAGACAGCCATGGCCCAGGCCAAGAGTGACAGGGCAGGTTATATCAGAAGGAGGACACCAGCCTAGACGATGTCACACAGGAAAGTACCACCATTGTCACATCCCCAGTGTCACTTCTGGTGTTTTTCATAAGCCTTCAGGAGCTTCAGTTGATTTCTGGGATGATATGCAAGTAAGGAAAACCAAGAGGGAGTCTGGAACCTCACTGTGACTATATGAATGTGATAGAAAAATCTACATACTGGATAAAGAAACCTAGAGTTCACTAGAGTAAGTTGCCTACCATGTGGCAGCTAGCGCTCCCAGTGAGAAATGAAAGTGTTGTGTAAATATTTAACACTCACGTTTGTGGCCTTCTGGCACTATAGCCTTATGTGGTCAGCTTGGGCCCCGGGGACCCCATCCCCTAGCAAAGGGGTTCACTCAAGGCCTTCATTCTTCCCTTTTCTAGGGGAAACTTTGATGCCTCTAAAGCACTGACTCCAAAAGCAAAGTTAAACTCACTACGAAAACCAGGTGGGAAGTAACTACATACAAGTAGGTGAGTACTTACTTATTAGAAATATCACGAAGAAAACCAGTGTCAGGCTGACAAGCAGGACAATTAGCAGCCCCACAAAAAACAGACTCCGGCTTCCATTTCCGGAGTTGGTGCCAAGACCTGGGGCTTTCTCGTCTAGGGCTAATAGGAGACAAACAACAGCAAGAAGGACAGCATTAACTTGCAGCAGGAATGGGCAGAATCTCGTTGTTAAGAGATGTGAGTCATGAACACACACATTTTTCTCTCTGACAACTTGGAAAGTGGCTTATGCATTAGGAATGTCTTTGGACTGGAAAAACGTTTGGAATTGTTTATCTTCCTCCATATTGGTATTCAAAGAATAAGCAGGGTTAAGCCAGCTCCTTCGACCTCTTTGGAAAAATTTTTTGAAGGCTGCTATTACTGAAGGAGCAAGACATGTCTTGTTCTTGGGTAGGGAATAAGGAATTAAGAGTGACAGAATCTGCTGCTCTTTTCCTCAAGAAACCCAGGAGCAAAACAGAGCTGGGTGAATACTTGGAGGTATCACCTAGGAATCTCTTTTTATTACAGAAATGCTCAAATATGCCTATATCCATATAAGCAAAAGAGGTCCTGCTGTGCTTTGTATTTTATTTTCAGGATGGATACACCCTGGAAGCAAGGTTCTTTTCGATGTTTTGTAGTAGCCTTGTTCACCTAACTTTGAATTGTCTGCATTTAATCACCATTTTGTAAGGCCTACATGCCTAATTATAGTCAGACTGGGGCAGTGAAGTCACTGAGTTACTTTTTTGTATAAACAACTTTGAATTTGTCCCACGCATTGTGCTGCTTGATTATGGATTCACGGGTGGCTTATGTCCCATGCCAAATAATTACATCCTATGGCACCTCCCTCAACAGCTTTTGCTTCTTAATCAAAGCACTAGCAGGGGCCAGGGATTTAGCTCAGTGGTTTCGCCACCTGCCTCACAAGCACAAGGACCCGAGTTCGATCCCCGGTAGCAAAAGCAATAGCATAGGCTGACATCTAAACACTTTTATCGAGTGTGACTGCAATAAAAGCAGGTGAACAACTGAACCTATTAGAATGACGAGAAAAACATGCATCAGAAAGTCTTTAGAAGGGGAATGACAGGGACAATGAGTTTGAAGGCATATGAAATAAATGAATGGCAAATGGGCAACCTGTGTTTGAATGCTAGGGCTCATGCTAGGAAAGATGAGGTCGAAAGGATCTGACAGAAGTTACTTAATATTTAGGGAGCAGGATACATATTTAGTACTCAACAGGTTTGTGTTGCGCTCCCCCACACATGCAGCTTTTTCTACACTTTAAAAATTGGGAAATTTGTAAGTAGAAAATGAAGGGGTTTTTGCCCAACAGAACTTTAATGTTAAAAACACTGGGAGATGTGTTGAGCATTTTCTCATCAATCCACTATGCAACAAGGCCCTGCAGGAGAGCGGGGACTGGCAGGGACCTAGATGTGGTCCCAACAGGCACAGCAACAGCGAAGAGGGCTGAGCCAGACTCAAAGTCCAGCTGTGCAGGCTCCACCCCTTCCCAGGGACAGAGCCTCCACAGGACTTCCTCAGAATGTTTGAAGACAAGAGTTCAAAACTTGCTTAGGAGCTAAGAAAGCCCATAATCCTCTGAAGTATTCAGGGAACAAAAGTAATTGCCTAATGATAAACGTCATTTCCATGGCCAAGCTGTTGCTAATGCTAGCCCTGCCCCACCATACTCACACATCCAAGGAGGCCTTTGGTATTTTTAGGCAGCCTACAAGCCAGGAAGGGGGGACAAGTCAATGGGGGCACACGTACGGAACGGATGCTGTGATCCCACAGGACAGAGGTTCAGTTTGTTTAGGTCATTTATGGAATCCACGACATACAGCTTTCCATCTTCATGTATGCCACAAGAGCCAGTGTCCTGGAAAGAATGATTCATTGTCCCTGGAAGAAAATACTGACATTAAGTAAGAGGCTGGCTGTGGAGCTCAACCAGAGCCAGAGCCAGCAGGAAGCTAGACAGGCAGATAAGGAACCACCCACCAAGGCTGTTTCCACAGAGGTTAGGTCTAGGAAAGCTTTGCGTACCCCAAAGAAAATACTTCCTTTGGTGGACAGCTTTGTAATTAGTCTTTTTGCTTTGCTATCGAGGAAGCTCAGAATCAAATGTGTAGCCCAATTTTAAGAATTGTATAGCTGTTTACAACCTGCTTATTTACATATGCTCTTTTCTCCTCCTCAGGCTTCTTAATTCTACCTTATTTTCTCTGAGTCTATTCTTTATTGTGTAATTAATTTTTTCCCACTTTTTATCACACTTTTCACATAGTGGTGAGATGCCTCAAATCCTTTGTGCAAGAAGATTAGGTATAAATATAAGGACAAAATTAAGCTAGTCAGCCCATGGCCATAAAGATTCAAAAAGAAGAAAGTATTATTGTGAACCATTATAATTGCATGAGGCTTTAACACAACATTATTATTTTATATTCTCCTTTTATATGGCATGTGCCCTTAACCTCAAACGGATTCTTTAGCCATGAGATGTTGGCTAGTATTGAAGCAAATTTTAATGTTGTAGAGAGGAGTCCTGCTCAACACCAGGACTTTTGGGGTCTCTTCTACCTGGTTCCCTTAGATTGAAGTCATTTATGTAATAAACATTTTACATTGAGGTTTACATTTAAGGTAATATTCTCTCATGATAGTGAAACATCAACACTGAAAAGCCTGCATATATTAAAAGAAGGCTCACAGCAAGATGTCTCTGTAGCACATCAGAGATCTTGTAGTCATTTAATTATGTAAAAAGGTTCTAGAAAGAAAAATTTCAATGACTAAAAAAGCTCTTTTTTTCAAGGTCATTTCTTTTCATAAAAAGAGACTAATGACAATATTGGGTTTGTTGTTGTTGTTGTTCTGTAAAGGATTTTAGCTATTGCTATGGTTTAGAGCTAAAATGTTCCCCCAGATTCTCATGTGTGCGGAAAGTGATTGAATCCCAGGAATGCTGTGCTCATCAAGGGATCCACTGATGAATCCACTGATGAGTTCAGAGCTGAATGTGCTGTTATGAGGCAGGGTCTGGTTGGAGGTGGGCGTGACCCGAAGGGTGTATTCTTATCCCCAGCTCCTCCCTTCTGCTTCCAGGCTGCCATGGGTTGAGCACCTTTCCTCCACCATGCCCCTCTCCCATCCTGTTTCTGCCTTGGAAACAGCTGATCATGAACCCAAAATAAACCTCTCCTCCTTTAAATTGTAGGTGTCAGGTATTTTGTCCCAGAAAGGAGAAAGTGATTAAGACAGCCAGTCAGTGCCACCCTTGCCACAAATGAAGAAGGACGTCGAAGGCCAATGCCCAAGATCATGCATTTAGCCAGTAGCAAAGCTGGAATTGGGCTCTTGTTCAGCTCTTGTTCATCAAGTCTTCCCTTGTGCTACCTTTCTTCCCAAAACCCCTTCCTCATCCTCTCTCAAGACTCAATGCAAACATAACGAGAACCAACTTCTTTCCTTTGTGTCATTGCTGGATACTCTATGTTTTTATTCTATCAGAACATCTAGAGCATTTTATTGCATTCGGTTGCTTACATCTTTGACTTCCTCAATAGAGTGAAAACTTTTAGGGTAGGGACCAATTCTATTCAGTGCCCAGCACCAGGTTTAGAACTCACAGACTTGTGTTATTAAGGCAGAACCTCTGAAATATTTCTTTAGGATCAAAACCTATTTTTTACAAGAATTTGAGGCAGTTAAGAATAGATACACTGGGCCGGGGATTTAGCTCAGTGGTTTCGCCGCCTGCTGCGCAAGCGCAAGGACCTGAGTTCAATCCCCGGTACCAAAAAAAAAACAAAAAAAGAATCGATACATTAACAGAAGCAAGAGTCAGGGTAAAAAAAAAATCCCCATGTGATGCCTATTTGGACTCCAGGAAAATCAATGCAATAAATACTGTGCCTGCCTGGACATGGCAACACACTATTTACTTCCTGTTAGCATTTTTTAAAAAGCTACCCAGCCACAGAATGAAGAGGGCTATAATTAGAGTTAGGTGAAACTGAAAGATCTGAAAAAAAAAGCATCAACCATTTTGAAACCATCTGAAACTCTCCTATAAATATCAAGCCTAACAATTTCCCAGTAATACCTAGCACCTACTGGTACTCAGTTAAAACCAAAAAGTGTGTTTTGGCTACCCTGAAACTTTAATTAACAAGAACACAATTCCCTGAGTATATTGGAGCACCTTAAATAGTGACATTACTGAATTCCAAAATATACTTCATAGAGCATTCCTAAGAGAACAAACAACGTGACATAATAAAATTAAAAAGCAAAAACAGCAGAAGCAGCCACAGGGTAAAAGAGCCATAGAGATAAAATTTTATTCCTTTGCAGAAAAAAACAAGGCCCTAAAGTGTTTACTGATGCATGGTCAGATTCCTGAACCATTCTTCTAGAAGGGTTTTATAGTTTATCATTTCCTTATGCATTATTATCCCAACCACTAATATTTGACCAGGAAAAGAGGCTGTATGTATCACATTACAGGATTCTCATTCTCAACAAGGCTTCTATATTAGGCTTGGTGACTGATCTCTGACTTAGTATCCTTGAGCTTTAGCTTCCCTGTCAGGAATGTAACTGCTATTGCTTGCATCTCATACTGAGACTTAATTAGTGAGGCTGACGAGCTATATAAATCATAGCTGAAAAACAGACTTTATGGTACAGCTAAAAAAAAAAATCTTCAAATTACCAGCCTTCCCACTTAGTCAAAAAGTGATTCCAAACTAAGACAACCATGTAGAGTAGGCTCTTAAGTGCTCTCAAAGAAAATTTCTTTTTTAGGGTAAAGTCACAATGTAAGTAGATGCTACTTTGATAGATTTTGTAAAATGACCTTCAACAAGCAAACAGAAGAACTAGCAGAGAAAACTGAGTTGAGTGCAGCTCGTGGCTACAAGGAGGCTGTAAATGCCTTGCAATGACTCTGCTAGAAAATGCATACGAGGTCACATGGCTGGAAAGCCAGGATTCACAGCTGTCTGACACCCAGGGGTTGCTATCTTTGGCATCTCTAAATGAGGGCATCTGGGAACAATCAACAAAGCAGGAGAAACCAGAGTGTTACTAGCAATTCTGTATCCTCTCTCCTAACTTGACCATGCGAATCTGTTTATTCACCAAGATTGGCCAAAGCAGCAGCATCTTAACAGAACCCTTTCTAATGCCTTCAGCAGAAACATGTAAGTAATTTCATTTTCCTCTGGCTGAAGTCACCACTAACAGCTGATGCTTTTTGTCAGTCATTTAAGAATTGACTACCTACAAATAAATACTGACAAATGCAGTTATCTACAAAAAGTACTTTGTATTTTATATCACCCACCCTAGGTGCCTGGTATCAAAACACAAAAATAAGTCACAGAAACAATGTTTGCCACAAATCAGAATTATTACACTGGGCTTAATTCAAAGCTAATAAGGTTTATTGAGTGAGTCATGGTAATTTGCTCTATAATTCCAGTTCAGAGTCTATGTCTCTCTACATTCAGGAAGTAGTTTTTAAAATAAAGCTTAAATTACTTCTATCAAAAGTTAAAAGCACAGAGCACATGCAACAAAGACTTTTCAGATTCAAGAATCATGACTTAGTCTCAGTAGAGCAATAGCATGCAAATTACTTACAAAAATATGAGCTTTGACTACTTGATTGCCAGGAAAAAGCAACTAGTTAATCAGGAGCAACAATGAAACTTGCTTTCTACAAATTCCGTACCTCTTTCTTTGCCTTCCTTCAGCACACAAGTGCTCCCACTAGCCCCATAAACACTAGCACAAAATAGTGATCTATATTTAGTGTTAATTTAGCCAAGCAAGGTAAGACTTGAAATACTGGCTTTTCCCATAATGTTTAAGATTTTTAGTGAATACATTACTGAAACTATGCCTTAAAACAAAAAACCAAGCCCTGATGCAACTGGTAACTGATGAGATTCTTATTAGACTGAAGAAGGCTCTTATTTAGCTGAAGAGACTGTAAACCGACACCATATTTCCAGCACTTGTGCCACAGTATGCGTCAGAATATAAATACCCTGTAGCAGGCAGGAACTGCCACTACGACCTCTGACTGGCAAGGACTCTGACCCAACCTCAGAACTGCAATACAGAGCACGGTTGTGACATCATGACCAGGAGGATGGCAGGTGTGTCAGTTTTTCATTATTATAAAATAGTAATGTACTATAAAATAGTACAAAATACCTCAACTAAACCAACTTTCAAAGAGGAAAATAAGTTTATTTTGGCATAGTTTGAGGTCTCAGTCCACGGTCACTTGGTTTTGCTGCCTGCAGGCCTGTGGTGAAGGGGCACACCAAGCATGTGGCAGAGGAAGCGGTGTGCCTGGTGGCAGCAGGGAAGCAAACAGCGAGAGAGGAAGGGGCTGGGTTCCCCACATTCCTTTCAAGGGCATCCCAAGAGTGATCTCCCTCCCACCAGGTCCCAGCTCGCAAAGGATTTACCACCTCCAAGTGGTGGCACAGGCCGGTGGCCAAGCCTTTAACACAGGGGTTCTCTCTGTGGCACCTGGGAATGGTTTCACAGAAGACAGTTTTTCCAGAGGAAAAGGATGATTTTGGGGTTAGACTCTCATAAGGAGCACAACCTAGATCCCTTGCATGCGAAGTTCACAGTAGGATTCGTGCTCCTATGAGAATCTAATGTTCCATGATCTCACAGGAGCCAGGGCCCAGGTGGCAATGCCAGGTACAGGGAGTTGTAAATACCGATGAAGCTTCACTTGCTCATCCTGTCACTTACCTCCTGTGATCTGGTCTGGTTCCCAAAGATTGGAGGACTGGAAACCGCTGCTTTGACACGAGGCTTTGGGGGTCATTCAAGATTCAAACTATGGCAGGTCAAGAGATTCCTTGGGCCTCGACCAAATCAACACAAAATGCACCTGTGAGTAGAAAAATCTTCCCATGGCTACTGAGCCCCTCCTGGTGAAAGCATATCTCATCAACCTCTGCTTTTTGAAGGGCTTCTTCCATGAGTTTTTGCACATCCTTTCTGTACTTACAAGAAATACAAGTTACTGCCTTTTCTGAGCTTTCACTTTTCCTCTGGTAACTTTATATCCCCTCTGAAGTACTAATGTCCTCTCAGAGATGAGAAATAGGGAGACTAAAAAATTTAGTTGGCAAAGGAGACTCAAGTAGTTAAGGGGCAGAGATGGAAATCTGAATGCAAAGTGAATTCAACCAAACATCAATGAAGATGAGACTGGCTTTCAACTAGACAGTTTCTAGAAAACCATCAAAGAGCAAAGCAAAATAGCCTATTTCATCTTATCTGTTTACCTGATAATATTCTCACCAAAAATTGTTTAATCTTGGTATCTTTGAATATTTCTTGCTTTTTCTTTTAAATATTATTTCTAGGTATCCTCTAGGTTTAATTCCTAGGAAACTCAGTAATTGCCATCAAAGATGTTGATTGCCTCAAAATTAATCCTTGAGTCTCAAAGGCAGGGACCGTATCAAATTCCAGTCTTATCACAGCATCTTACTACTTTTAAGAAAACTCAAGCATTCTTACAGACTTCCCAGCAATCATTGTCTAGCAATTGCTCAATTTCATTATAGTCTCCTGAATGCAAACTCATGGTTTGGATCTAAAATGTCTCCCTGAAGTCTCACGTTCAGAGGAGGCAGGCAGGCAACTGGATCTTGGGGTGCTGAACTCACAGCTGACTATGCTGTGTGCAGGTGGGTCCTGGTTGGAAGAGGAGTGTCCCTGCAGGTGTCACCTACCTCCTCCCTTCTCTGCTTCCTGGCTGCCAAGAGAAAAGCAGCTTTCCTCTGCCAAGCCCTTCCTCCATGTCACTTCTGCTTTGAAGCCAGCCAACCATGAACTGAATTCCCTAAACCTTGAGCCAAGTTAAACCTCTCTTACTTCAGGATGTGGGTGTCAGGTACTTTGTCCCAACAGGAAATCTCACTTTATATAACTTTATCTCACACCCTCCCCCAAAAAAGGCACAATAGGAATAAAAATTTATAAAACCATAAAAATGAAAATAGGAAGCAAATTTACTGAAGAATTCAATACATATATTCATGAGGGGAAGAGTGGTGCCTCTGCCTTAGTAGGACTCTCCCTCACGGGGAAGCTGAATGACCCTGCCGTATTTAGTCAGGTTCAGGAACTACAGGCAAAAGGACACAGCGACAACACAGGCAGGTAATTTAACATTACCTGAAAATAAGGTGCAATAAAAAGAATGGAAAATTGTGTTAAGAAAATGTCCCAGAAAAAAAACAAGGCCGGAGGCTCAATTCCAAGCTCTAGTACTTCACGCAGTGCCACATCAAAGAAAAAGCTGGTGGGGTGAGGAAGGGTGAAAAGAGAACTTGAAAATACTTTTTGGATTGTCAAGCCCACCAAAGCACAGTATCATGCAATTTTTAGAATACCAGCCACAGAGATTTTTAAGAGCAAAAGAAAGCCAAGACAAAACAAAAATTGTACCAAATCTTACCACTGTGCCAATGAGAAGACAATATAGCAATGCTTTCAAAATTCTTGGCCACTTATCTTAAATCCTGAATTTGACTTTCTACCTAGAATTTCATATACCGAGCATTCTACCTTTTGAAATATGAAGCCTGAAGATAATGCAAAACCCATATATTCATTCCCAAGAAACTACGGAAGGAAGCATTCTAACAAGTAAAAATGGGCTAATAAAGACATGGGGTCCAGAAAATGTGGGGCCCAACTGGAGAGGAAAACACCCCAGCATAATAGTGATATTTCAGGAAAGAGGTGGACACTTGAAAGAGAGAACTAGTGTACGCTGAAACAAATAGTTCTACAAATTTATTTAGTACTGCTTGGGAAGAAGTGATGTACATATAAGTCAAAAAAATAAGACAATTATTAACTCCAGGACAAAACGTTCTGAGAGTATATGTGTAAGTACAATAAAATAGCTCAGGAGTGAAAACAGAAATATGGTTAAAATTATGCAAATGGTAAGTGTTGATTAACCAAAAAATGTACTGTAAGAAAGGGGAAATAAAAAAAGACAAATCTTGTCATAATAGGACATAGACAAATATCTAAAACTAATAAACTAAGAAATAGTTGTGTATTACTTAGAAACACGAAACTGGGGTGCCAGAAAATAGAAGGCTGAATACCTCTCTCCTGGGATGGGGAAGGATTGAGCAGGAGGCTCTTTTCCTTATAAGCCTAGAAGTACTATTATTCAACTGTGGCTTTAGTAAAAATTCGTTCTTGGGCCAGGGATTTAGCTCAGTGGTTCTGGCGCCACAAGGTCCTGATTTCGATCCCCGGTACCAAAAAAAAAAAAAATTCATTCTCACAGGAAATTTAGAAAAAAGCCCACTCTTCCGCAATCTCTTCTCCGTGGACCAAACCTAGTTAGGACATAAATTCAAGGCCTAGATCCCAATTCATCTCCACTGTCCTGGATCCAAGAGATGGGACTCCAACTATGATGCCATAGCCAGCCAGTGGTCTGCACCTAGCAGCCGCTCAGTTGGTTGCTGGGGATGTGGGAGCGAGAGGAAGAAACCTAGTGCAGTAAGAATACCAGAAGTGATTTTGGTACTTTTGGTACATGCCTCACATCTCTCAACCATTCTCTACAGCAAGAAAATCAAAGAAACAAGTCTATGGGTTCTAAACTGCACATATTATTTAAACTATAATTTAAATGGGCTTATTAAATTTTAATACATTACCAAAAAGCTTGCAACTTTCATTAAAAAAAAGCCTCAAGAAGACACCCAAACAGAAATATTTTTAAAAGTCAGTAGCTAGATGCCAATTTTATATTGCTAATTTATTTCATTTTAAAATTTTCAAACAACATTCCTACCTGGCTTGTGTAGTTTGAACTCTGTACCCCTAACTTATAAAACTGTTTCTATCAGAAAACAAGCACTTTCAGTGTGAAAAGATCTTTATTTCCAAGTGATAAGAACAAGGTCTCACACAGCAGATAGAGTGAGTGTCCCTGCCCTGGGAGGTTCAGATCCGCAGCCTTTCCGGGTAACTCACTGTGAACCCCCAGCAGTGGCAATGAACAAATGGCCGTTAAGTGTAGCTCTTGCAAACTCTAGTGTATAGTTCCTTTGTGCATCCTAGTGACAAAATTCAAATAGCTACATTCCATTTAAAATGTAAAATACAGCAGCTTTTTCCCAGGAACTAACTTCTAAAAATTGTATCCAGAATTCAAATTTAAGATATTAACTTAATTATCTTGTATGTATATCATTAAAATTGCTGATATTTTGACAAGCACAGTATAAGAAATCAAACCCTTTTCAACATGAAATCTAGTCAAATACCATCTTCTTTGCTCTCTTCTTAAATAGAACATGACCAAATATTATACTTTATTCATGATTACTGATTGTATTTAGAGAATATTCAACAATCAGAATGTCATGTCATTTACAATACTGTACATTAAGTTAGAATATATAATCCAGCCCTACTACAAAAATGATATAACTTGACCCAAGATAAAAATGGTTTCTAAGGCTTATATACATTAAAAATAGGAAAAGAAATTAGAAAACTGTCATCAAGTACAAAAAAATCTAGAAGAATTCTCCAACATCTGCTCTCTTATCCCGACATTTGCTTCGAGCTTTTGTCCGTGCTTTGAAAGCCGCAGAATTATATAAATGCTGAAATCAAGAAGGGGAAAATGCTTGTGAATCAGTACAACTTAAGGTGTTCTTAGAAAATAAAAAAAGAAAATCATACAAGAAATGGACTAATTTGACTATCAATATTTTAAATATTTATAAAATGTACACAAAGAATGCAGCAGCAAATTAACAACACAATTAATGGCTACTCTATATTAAGAAATTTATCAACTAAATATGTAAGGAGTAAGTAAATTCCAACCAAGGAAGGTAAAAATGAGCATCAGTTAATCTGATCACAAATCATGACTAACATGAAAAAGTCCTACTTAGCTGTCAATTAAAATAAAAAAAATAGTGGTGGGGAGCTGTTTTAATACCAATTAAATTAACTTTTCTTTTTTTTTTTTTTGGTACTGGGGATCAAACTCAGGACCTTGTGCTTGCCAGAGCACAAAGCAGGGCTAAATCCCCGGCCCTCTTTTAATTTTTTTTTTTGAGATGAGATTTCTCTATGTAATCCAAAGGTCAGTTTTTGAACTTGCTGTGTAGCCCAGACTGACCTTGAATTCATGATCCTCGTGCCCCAGCCTGCCAAGTGCTAGGATTATGGGCATGTGTAACCATGCCCAGGAATTAAGTCTCTTATAATTATTAAACCTATTGCTGTCAAATCTGTGTATAACAACAACATGCCTTCATTCAATGCTGCAGCCAATTAAAAATGATAGAATAACTTCGGAAAGTAATTTGGCAAAACCTATCACGTGCTTTTATTTGACACTGTAGTTTCATCCAGAAGAAATAATTAAAAAGAAATAGTAAAAATACTTAATTTTACCAGCAAATCTTAAATACCTCTCAATTATGTGACCACACTGGTAATTAAATACAAAAGTTCAATGAAAGTATAATTAAGCAGGTCACATACATTAAGATGTCTATAATTAGAAGTTATGAAAATGAGTAACAAATGTTGATGAGGACTGGAGAGTAGAACCCTTTTTTTATTTTTTGGTACCAGGGATCGAACTCGGGACCTTGCGCTTGCAAGGCAGGCACCAGAACCACTGAGCTAAATAAATCCCCAGCCCAAGAGTGGATCTCTTAAGCACTGCTGATACTGATGCAAAATGCCTCGGCAGCTATGGATAACTTTGACGGCTCCTCAAAAAGTTCAAAATAAAATTACCAAAAGACCAAGGAATTGCACTCATAGGAATATACCCCTCCAACACTGAAATCTTTCAAATAAAAATCTGTATGCCAGCGTTCACAGTAGAACTATTCACAATGACCAAAAGATGGATAACGCCCAAATCAATTTAGATGATCAAGAAATCATGAAATACCCATGTAATGGAATTATTACTCAGCAACAAAAAGGAATGCTGCTCTGATTGAAGTGGAAAAAGACAAACACAAAAGGGAACATGTTGCATAATTTCATTTATATAAAATATCCCAAATTGGTAAATCCAGAGACAGAGTACAGATTAGTGTTCGCCAGTGGCTAGAAGAACAGACTGCGGGGATAGGGGGGCACTGCTTTTCGGTAAAAGGTTTTCTTTTGAGGTGAGGAAAATGTTTTGGAAGTAGATAGAGGGGACTGGTTGTAAATACCATGAATGTAACAAATGCAACTGAACAGCACACTTCCAAACAGTCTCTTATGTAACTCTTACCTCAATAAAAAATATTATAAAATTAAGGATATGTGAAATGTTTAAGTGAAACTCAGAGTGTGTAACTTCACTAAGCATAATATTTCATATAAAAGTAATATTGTAACACTCAAAAATAATTTCTATAGGGCCAGGAATTTAGCTCAGTGGTTCCACCGCCTTCCTCGCAAGCACACAGTCCTGAGTTCAATCCCCGGTACCAAAAATAATAATAATAATAATAACTTCTATATTAAAGTAGCAGGGCTATGGGTGAAAATTTTAATTAAGTCCCCCACCTTCTAAGTGCAATAAAGCTTCTACACCTTTAGTACAGCCACTGTGTCTGTGTGAGACACCATGAAAAAGTAAAATCCCACGTTATTGGGAGACATGGCTAGGTTCCCATCACCAGGGACAATCAAAGTTTTACCTCCATTTTTCTTTAGAGCATTTAATTCTATTAAGAACAAGAACAAAAACCTACCCTTTCAAAACGAGAAATCTTCATCGTTTTAAGCATTGCAGCATCCAGCATCACTGGGGGTCCAAGTTCAAATACATTGCGAAGGAATTCATTTGACTTATGTGAAAGAAAAAAATAAGGCTTAATGTTAAATAGCAAAGCTGTTTTTCACTACACAGAATGAATCTTATTAACAGAAGTTATGTGCAACCAATAAGTATGAACCTACAACACTTATTTCCTATTTCTCAGTATGAGAGCAAATTGTTTTCTAATACCTTGAATTCCAGAAAGCCATGTGACACTATCTGCTTTCATCAAAAGTACCAATAACATTCAAGCAGACATACCATACAAAAAGAAAGTTTTATTTATTCAGCTTCACATTCAAAAACAAATTTATTGTTTTCAGTGAGCTACATTTCAGACCATTTCTTAAGCAGATATAGAAATGTCACTCACCTGCAAGTGGTACTGCATCCCTGATCCGAGAATCTCTTTAAAGGTGTCATAGGTGTGTTTTTTGACCCAAGTATCAATATACATGCGTTCAGGACCAAATTTAACAGTTTCTGTTGGAAAATCCTGTTCCTAGACAATGCAAGAGACAAAATTATCATAGGTATGGAAATGGCCCAGAAAGATTTTGCATAAATACAACTTCTAAACAGATAAATGAGGTAAATGAACAATATTTTGGAGTGGCACTTCCACAGTTGAGATGTGGAAAGGCTCATAACTGCTGTTCTGTGTGTGAGGGTGTAGAATTTGTCTAACTGTATAAACCTGAAGACACAACTGAATTTGAATAAATATGAATGACAAAACCACGCTGCTATGAATATTTTAAAATTTCAAGAGCAGGCCAATGTTTGTAGATCTGGGATAGGAGATGGGAACTGTCAGTGAGAAAAGGCAGGGACCTCGGGAAGGAGCCAAACAGGGCTAACAGAGCGAGCCCAAGGAGAGAGCCAGTAACTAGGAGGCTCTGACTTAGAGGTAGAAGAGAAAGCACTCTGTGAGGCACATACAGTGACCACCTAGTGTCTAACAGCGCAAAAACACTAGTATAGGAGCATTCTAGGGTCTCAACCTGGACTTCAGAAAACACGGACACTCCTGGGAAGAACTCCACTTCCCACCCACCATCGACAAACCCATCTGCACCCGTACCCAGTTCCTCCTCCCTCCGGAATGGAACAGGCCCTCATATTCCCTAATCCAGGCGAAACCCAATCTTTCACTTGTATTTTAAATGTTCCTCTTCCACTGGTTCCCTTTCCCATAAACTGTCTCTAGCATCTAAAACAAAACAAAACAAACCCTTCTACAATGTAGCACTACATTCTAGCTACGGATTCTCTTCCCCTTCCCAATACAGCCAAAGCACTTTAACAGAACTGAAGATACTTCTTTTCCACTTCCTCACTCCACTTTCCATCCACTTTCCAATACACTTCAGTCTGGCTCCTCTCGAACCGCCCCACTGACACTGCTCTTAGAAAGGTCACCAATGACCTGACTACAGATCTTACGAAATGGTCTGCTTCCTCTCACTTTGCTTATCTGCAGCACTGGGCCCTACTGAAAACACACAGTACTGAGGGACTGAGTTTCAGCTTTGCTGTTTACTGTTTTGGTTACTGCTTGTTGCTTGTTTGTTTTTGTAGTACTGGGGATTGTACCAGGACATTCACTTTAAACTACATCTCCAACCCTTTTTAAATTTTTTGAAAGTCTTGCTAAAATCACTAAGCTGCACAGACTGGGCTCAAACTTGCGATCTTCCTGCTTAAACTTCCCAGAGAGCTCGGATTACAGATGCCTTTGGTATTCATTTTTCCTTAAAAAGGAGTAATTCTATACCTAAAAGTTATAATGGAACTAAAAAAGAAAATTGTATGGCAAAGCATCTAATATATTAAATGTCTGTGGGTGTATGGACTACACGAGCTCCAAGAAAGGCTCTGGATAAACAGAAATGATGTGGCAGCCCCTATGACACCTCAGATGTGTAATTCTCTCTGGCAGCTGAGCAGCCTTCATTTAGAAGACTCGTCAAGGAAGCAGGGACCTCCCAAGAGAGCTGGGCTCCAGTCAGAGTGTGGCTGAGGGGCTCCTTCTTTGCCAGGCGCACTGAGGCAGAGGCCGGACACTGGGGAGCCCAACAGAGAGTAGGGAAGGTGCTTTTCCCGAGCTGAGGAGGAGAGGGCAGGCAGATTGCTGCAGGGTAAGAGTGGCTTCCCAGGGACAGGGCCTGGTAAAGCTGTGTACGCCGAGACCCCCTTATCTTCCTCAGGATTACCAGTGCTGAGCAGCACTAGGGCTGACGCGGTGGAGGGGCTTAGGAACAGACTGTCAGGTCATGCTGACCCCTTACAATCTACTACCCAGCAAGACGCAGAATCTGAAATCAGGTCTACTCCAGAAAACCTAGGACATGCCATCACCTTATCTTTGGAGGCTACACTGTCCAAAAACAACAGAAAAAAAAAGGGGCAGTGAAGCTCAGCGGGTCCCAGCACCCAGAAGGAAGCTCCCCTACTGCCATCCCAGGCTCCTAAGGCACAGAAGGTGAGCCACATGGGCACAAGAAGCCCCCCCCCCCGCCACCGTGGAAACGAGAAGACACATAAACAAGCCTCAAAAACAGACTTCCGGATCACCTACAGCAACCCCAAAGGGAAACGAGATGGAACAATCTGATACT